AACTATATGAAGTCAATTTAATTACGAGTATTAAAGCAATAAATTAAACGCATAGATGGTCCTGTGATCAGGGTTCTTACCTTCCATACGGAAGACTCGAGTTCAAATCTCAGATGGAGAACAATGAAATGGAATATTTGTTTTTCTTGTTTACTTTATTTTATAAATTAGTAAAAGTCATAAATTATTTTATCTTAATAACCTAAAATAATTTTTAATATTGGTAGATTTTCGTTAGTGGGTCGTAGAAAAAATATACTGTACAACTCGAGTAGATTGTCCATATCGCACTAAGACGATTGAGCACTCTGCCTACGGCGTCGTGCTCAAATTTCGTCTTCGTGCGATATGGCCATCATATCCACTCTTGTTGCATAACATACTATAGTTGATTTATTCGATTTTACTACAAAGCATCTCAAGAGGTAAGAAATTTTTGAGAAAACATTGGATTGTTTCTTTGGAAAGTGTGCGTCTAAATTTCATGAAACGAAATCCCCTCAATCCTCGGGAAAAATAAAAAAATAAAATCTAGAAAAACAATCATATTTTAGCAGATTATAAAAGCAAAAGAAAGATAACATACAATAATCATTTGGGATATCCTGTGTTCTAACATCCCAAAACTACTACTGTAAAATATAGTATTATTTATTTATTTTTATATAGAACACAATGTGATTGATTTTTGCATTAATTTATCTTTCTATAACAAACAATGACGCAATGTAATGTAATATAATGTAATGCTCAATCATCAAGCATGATAAGAGAATATGTTATTCCTCTTTATATTGTGGATGTTTTGGTCAGATCACTCAATTTATTTTTTATATTTGGTGTTAATTTTTACCTGTAAGCATTAAGAACGTTCTCAGAACATGACGTACATACTGGGTATACGACATCAAGTATCTTCTAAGAATGTCCTGCTAAAAAGCACGTGCTATACTGAGCACGTGCTTTAGCAGGACATTCTAGAATATACTTTCAACGTATACTCTAGGCATGTTCTAAGAACATTCGAAAAAGGACATACTAAGAGTACTTAAACAGAAGGTACTTAGTATATTCATAGAACATTGATGTTATGTGGGTGGTCATCTGTTACGTAATTGTTCACCAAAGATGCCACGTCATTTTGTGACGTTATTCTGACGTCATTTTATAACGTTAATATGACGTCAATTTGTAACGATACTATGACGTTATTTGAGCCTATATCTTAAAGAAGGCTGTATGAGGCATACAGGAAATAATATTAAAGATAGATAATAATAAACAATTTTTATTGTAAAATAATTCCATAGAAAAATTACCCAAATAACTATTATACATTCTTAGCATATTCTTAGTATATACTTTTTAGGAATATGCATATATACCTACTTTATTTGCATTTAATACATTCTCAGAGTATATCTTACGTGACGTTGTTTATACGTGCTATGCAGATACTGAGAATGTACTTCAAGTAGGTGTACAGTATGCAATAAGTATCTACTTTAATTTGATAGTACGTTCTAAGTATATACTAAGTATTTAAATTTTACACATACTATGCATATACTAGACACCCTAATACAGGATGTTTCATTAATGTTGAACATCAAAGAATAAGTGTATAAAATGAAAATCGTGAACATTTTTTAAATCTTTATTTCCAAAAATTCACACGTATTCTTATTTTTATTACAAATTCTTTCTTTGGACCAAAATTTTATTGTATCTTTCATTGAACCGAAAAAATTAAAAAAAATAATAAACTTGGTGCATGGTAGCAGAGAAAACAGAGACGTATAACTTAATAGGAAAATTTTTTCGGTGGTCCATTTAAATTACATATATGACTTTCTTTCTCTTTTACATTGATCTTTACACATATTTATCTCTCTCCAATAAACCTAACACCAGCCCTAGAGGTCGATGATGTTACTGGTTTTTTTGACGTCGACGTGTGACGTATAGATTCGAACTGACAACTGACAATGTTATGAATGTTATTATGAACGTGTACATTTTATTTAAATTAATTTAATTTTGGCCCCGTTTATTTCTTCAAGTCTGATTTTGTTATTTAATTAGTTTTTTTTTGGGGGGGGGGGTGTTTATTTTCGCATATTATTTTTTGCATGAAGCAGTTTCTGGAACTCGCGTTTTTGTACACGTTTCTTTCTAGAAGCAAGTAAGTTATTTCCAATGTATTAAGAAAACTACTGTATAATGTGTGTGTTTAATAATATATTACAAAATGGCTATAATTATTTTAGGTGAATTGGAACAGAGATCCATTGTTACATCTAATTTTGTTTATTAAGTAGGTAGATGAATGTCTCGACAGCTTTAATGGCAGCACAAAGTTCCCACCTACTAGAAAAGAAGTAAAATGTATACTGAGTAAAAAATCTCTACACATGTAGTATTGACAAAGGACTTTTGAAATGATTAGAGATTGGCAATTTCTTACATAAACTCTAGTGGCTGTTAGAAGATTATAGTCATTTAAACGAAGAAAAAAATTGAATCACTAAAGGCCCGAATTTTAAATCAGTATGCATTGGAAAATAAATTTGGTAGACATCAGGTCGGTTTTGGATTTTACAGAAAGATTAATCTCAAGAAAAGTTATTTTATCCCGCAGAACAACCAGTAGTTTGAGTAGGATCTGCTATAACTTTATTAGAAGATTTCCTTGATAATAAATTGTAATATGCCAATTGTTTCAAATAAAATTGAAAAATAGTTAAATTCAAAATTAGATTTTTTATGGGTAAATTGTTATATTCATTCAAACATCGTAAGGTAATCTATAATTAAGGGAGTATTGAAAATGGGTATACTCTGGTGGTGTAAGAGACAGGTAAGGGACAACGACAAAAAAATTACAAAAATGTATTCATCTTTAAATAGTGTTTATTATTATTATTAATATTTACTATGTTTGAAAAGTACCTCCTGCTGTAGAGCAGATCGAATAGATTAGACGATTAGTTGGAGAAGGTCCACCTAGTCACCAAATTAGGAGTCTAAGAAAACTTTTACATGACTGGGGACACAACAGGAATGCACGCGTACAAGACACACAAACAGACGACATAACAGGGGTAAGCCTTCAGTAAGGTTCTGTTTAAATGATGACAGTATGTCATCTTTCATTCCCTTTTAGAAGGCATGGTATATAAATCTATTGATCTTGATGACCCTAAGAGAAGTTAGCAGGGGGTGGACGGAACGGGTCTAGCAGGTTTCCTTCCAGTTTACAGGATGGGAACTTACTCAACTCGGGCCTTATACATTTTTGTGACTGTATGTGTGTTTGTTTTGTTTCCATGGTTTCTATTAAAATAAACCGTCATAACACTCTATACTTTGTAAAATATTTGTTACATTATTTTATAAAAATAATATGAATATATAACAACTGTGATTTTCTTTGTAATTTGTCACAAAATGATACGAGGTACTTTCTAAACGTAGCAGTTCTAGTTTGTTTTTCTGTACCTTACAAAAATATAATTTATAGAAAAAGAGTTCGGTGTATTATTTTTCCAAGTTTAAATATTTAATAATCAATAGAATTTAGCGAAATTTATAAAAGTAATAAAAACTATCTTCACTGCTTATATTGAACTGATTAAAACTTTCTTCATTAAAATGATTATTTATATGATAAAAAATTTGATGTTATTGGAAGCTTTTACATTTTTTAATATACAGTGAAACAATAGTTTTTGTTTCTCCTGTAAATTTGTATAGAAAAACAATTTATTTCTGAATCCATGTTTGAATTTCCCGCTCTAAAGCATTTTTAAATTTTTCCGCTATTTATGACTGGATACGCACAGCAGTAAGAAAAGAAGAAAATTTACTAGTGGCGCCATCATAGACTGGTTGTGGATACAATCGCCAAAACAACTTTTACCAAATAAAAAAATACATTGAGTTACACGTCTCGCTGGGTTGTCGCTGATGGTAGATATACAAATTGAGTTTACATAACTAATGGAATATTTTAAATATTTTTATCAAACATAAAACATTAAAAATTGTACAAAACAAGAGTTACATAAATGATTATTATGTTAAGTGAAAGTTTAAATATGTTTTTGTTAATTACTTACCACCATTTTGTAGTTTTCGTCCTCCTTTAGCTAATTTTCTAGTTCTTCTAGGTCAATTTCTGGCCTACAGGATTCTTTTCATACAAATGGTGTATGTAATTCTGGTATCACTGTATTTTAATTTTAATTCCCTATTAGTACTAACCTTACTAATAATTTCACACTGGCAATTTATATTTTAAAAATCCTGTGTTCTAAAATCATTTCCCAACTAGCATTGGCTCTTTGTGAATCCAGTTTTTCTGCCCTTACTAGAATTAATAGACCTGAGCCACCTCAGCGGAGGTCAATGTTACATCCGAGACTGGCAAACCTTACCCATTTAGCATTTGAAAAAGAGAACAAAAAACATAAATATTGAAAATCTGCTGGTTGAGTTTAATAATTTAAAAAATAGGAAACTGCAATTATTCTGAAAATTGATAAAAAAAATATTTTTTTAACTCTTTTGCATATTTGATGGCGCTTTTACTAACTCAACCCTCAACCAGTTAAATGTACATAGGAAAAGACGTTTTATGTTTTTTTGTTGTAGAGTTCATTCTTTTGCTTAAAATATTTTTTATTGAATAAATATGTGTTTTGTAATTGCTCGTTTTTTTAATACCCTCCTCGGAGGAAGGAATTCAAAACAAAACTCATGTTTTTTTGGAATTTTTATACTCTAATAAAAAAAATGAAGCCCCCCAAGATTTTGTTTAGCCCCCTCTTAAACATGCGGCTAGCTACGGCCCTGAATAGGCATAATAAAAATCTGCTTCGAAAGTGAGGTCATGCGCAAGACTGACCGAATTTCGTACCGCTAACCGCATCACCTGTATTTTTCCACGATGCACTCAACCTTAATAATTATCGATTAAAAAAAAATATGTTTCATTTACCGCCTAAAGCCCAAACCACCTCTACGCCTATGTTAAATTAAAAATTGAATCGCGCACAGTCTCCAGCTGGCGGATACCTAACCTCGTCGTATCGCATTGAAGAGTTGTGTGTACACAAGTTTATAAAAAGCGCTGCATTTTAATCTATCCAAATACGTACTACAGTTAGTTCAAGTTCAGTTGTCAGTTGTTCGGCATGCACTGAGACTGAAACGCTGGTTGGGGGCGCTTATCGATCGCTTTGGGTATTATTGTGTGGGCTATTCAAGTGATCTCACCGGGTTTAAACATTCGCGGATGCCCTAAAAAAAGATTGTGAAAAAATTTGGTGCTAAATATAGATAGATGTTCTAGGAATTAAGTTGGGTTTCGAAAATGGATTCCAGTAAGAAACATGTTAAACCCAATCCCGAAGAAAAGGCTAATCCTCTTTCAGTTTTATTTTATTGGTATGTAAAGCAGTTTTGTCTAAATTTTAACTATATTTATATTATTTATAAGGCAAAAAATATTCGATCTATCACCTGTGTTTTTGTTCTAATGTTTAGCTAGTTATTCGAGTTCCATATATCTACTTGTAAGGAATAATATTCCAACTTTTTTACAAGGAGCAAAAGCATTTATTAAAAATAATTAGGTATATTATTCAGGTTAGAAACGAGTTGTCGCAATAAAGAAACCTTGATGTTATACGTCTCTCTCTGAATAACATTAATATGCTAATAACGCAACATCAAATACATTACCAAAGTCTTTAAAAGTAGGTACTAGGTAAATTCATCAGTCATGTTTATCACTATTGTGATGGTGATGGTTTAGCCGGCAACATTTTTTTTAAACGACTGTTTATTTAATACCAATTAATATCGCTTTGAAAAGATGGTTACATTCGATTTAAAAGACACACGAATTTCAAAAAAATTTTTGTTCTATTAGAAAGTAGAGAAGTTATATATCATGACAATTAAAAAAAAAAATTGGAGATTATCCACGATTAAGCGAGAAATTTAATATTAAAATCTCAAAAATTGCACATTTTTACTTTCCTATCTGTATACAGATATAAGGAAAGTATAGGAATCATGATTTTTTTCGACCTCGAGTTTTCGACGGATTTTTACGTTTTGAGGTCCCCTGAATCCGTTTTGACTATTTTCGCGATGATGTCTGTGTGTGTGTGTGTGTGTGTGTCTGTGTGTGTGTCTGTGTGTGTGTCTGTGTGTGTGTCTGTGTGTGTGTGTGTGTGTGTGTGTCTGTATAACGCATAACTCATGAACCGATACACGGAAAAACACCAAATTTCAAACTTAAGCTTTGTTCCAACGTCTAATGAGCTGATTAGATTTTGGGCAGAGTCGGAACATCTGGGGGGGTACTTTATAGGTGGTCATTTTTATATTTTATGGAATATATCTGTTATTTACGTTTGGGGAAGAAAATTCTTTAAATGAAAGTTACTTTTTATTTTATTATCTATAATTTTTGTTATATACAAAATTTTCCTAAAATGGTCCGTATTCGCGAAATTTGACAAAATGTAAAAAAATATTTTTTTTTATAAAAATTGTTCAAACAAAAGTTGTTTGTAATATAATTCTCTATAATTTTTATCCTATAGATAATTTCTCTAAAATGGACCGTATTCGAGATATTTGAGAAAATGTGTAAATTTCGAAATTTGAAGAAAACTCAAAAATGGATAAAGAAAAAAACATTAAATTTTAAACTTAAGTTTTATTTCGGCCTGACGTGAAATGATTAGATTTTGGACAAAGTCGGAACATCTGGGGGGTACTTTATGGGAGGCCGTTTTTATATTTTATGGAATATATGTTATTTATGTTTGAAGAAAAAAATTGTTCAAATAAAAGTTACTTCTAATATTATTATCTATAATTTTTACTTTATGTAAAAATTTCCTGAAATGGTCCGTATTCGAAAAATTTGACAAAATGTGCAAAATTCTGATTTTTATGAAAATTGTTGAAATAAAAGTTGTTTGCGATATCGATCTCTATAATATTTGTTTATACATGATTTTTTTAAAATGGACCGTAATGGAAAAATTGTAGGAAAAGTGCTAAATTTAAATTTTTCAGTATTTTCATTTTCAATGAATATCTATAGAAAAATGTTTCGCGATAGATGTATGTGGACAATGTATATATTTAGTTTATCCTCTAAACATTTATAGAGATGCTGCAATAGGTTGTACAAAATAACCGGAAAAGGCCTGTAATACCTAGATAGGAAAGTCATGTGTTGGACACATCAGATTTTTAATCAAATATTTTGACTTATATGTACAGGGTTGCCAAGTATTTTAATATGTAAGAAGATATAATTAATTTGTAAACTCGTAAATTATTATACTTTTATGATTTGTTTATTTAAATAAGGGTCTGTCGAGGGATCCTGAGATGCGAATTTTACAAAAAAAAATTAAACACTCAAAAGTAACTAGTTTCTATAGTAAATTTTTGTAAAAAATGTTCTTGTAAAACCCAGTATTTTTCGAAATAAATCAAATTAAAAACCTCAATTTTATAGGTTATATTCACAAAACATATCTACTCTAGATGAAAGATTCGGTCTTAAAAGTTACAACCTCGGTTACAACGTTGCCAAGTTGATAATGAAATTGTGAGTTTCAGGATTATCTAAAATATCTAAATTATGAGATTATAAAAAAACAATGACTTCTCGTAGAAGCCGCCACCAGAAAATATCAACCCATAGTTCGAAAAAACGTTTATTCGAATGAGAGGTTGTTTGAAAAACTTCTATTCGAAAATACTTTTAATCGAAAACGTTATGTTCGAAAATAGTTTTCCTCGAAAAATATTATAACGAAAAAATTGGAAAGAACGATTTTTTAGTTGAATCTAAATGTAAAATATATTAAAGAAAATAGAAATATTTTCCTAGCGTTCTACTTAAAACTTAAAAAAACTTAACTAATTTATCTAACCTGTGCGGCCTGGAGTCATCGCGAGTTGCTTCCCAAAAAAATGTACATAAAATAAGAAAAATTAAACAAATATTAACTAATTTTTCTAACCTGTGTGGCCTGGAATCAAAACGGGTTTCTTCGCAAAAAAATTTACATAAAATAAGAAAAATAAATATTAACTAATATACCTAACCTGTGCGGCCTGGAATCAAAATGGGTTTCTAACCTAACCCAACTTAACCTAACCTGTGCAGCCTGCAGTCGTAGGTTGCTCGCGAAAAAATTATGCATAAAATGAGAAAATTAAAAGTGTATTTTCGGACTAGAATTTTTCGATCTAAGCTTTTACGAATAAACGTATTTTCGAACTTAAGGTTTTCGAACAAAATTCCGCCAACCCCTGCCGGCATAAACACCAATGGCCTAAACACCAGTAACCCTGAAGCAACGGGACAAGACTAAGGTTACTACTTTTCAACCCGTGAACTTTTTAAAACATACTCTGGATTCGCTCTGATCCCGGCTACACTGTATAACGACTCATATAAATAAATAAAAAAATAAGTAAAATATATTTCAAAAAAATAAATTATATATATTTCAAAAAAATAAACAAACATTAATAAAAATAATCAAATAATTCTAAAAAAAAAACCAAAAAAATCAATAATTCCGAGGTGTGGCTTGTATGGTGAACTATAAGTCAGTCATGAGCCACAATAGATCCATCTGGGTCGCGGTGGAGGGCAATGAAATCATCCCACTCATTTTCAACCTAACCTAATCTAACATTCGAGAGTCTATAACCGTTTGAGCCTTGTGCTTCCTAGGGTCGCCCAAAATTGCTCTGATAATGTAGGAAAACCTCCGAAACAAGTATCTTCCGATCAAGACATTAATTTGAATTCAAGTCCAACCGATAAAAAAATAAAAAATCAATTATAATTGTTAACTGCTAAAAAAAGAATTGTATAAATATATCGTAACTACCTCGGTAACTACCTAAAATTAATGGTTTTTTGAATATTTTATAAAATACGTCTATCCTTAATCATATTTGGAATCATCCTGTATACACAATTTATAGGATTTTTTAATACAACAATAACAACGGTACTCTAACATTTTATTTCTGCCTGTTTATTTCAAATTACCATTTCACGAAATTTTAAAAACTTGTCTTATATAATTCCGCACCGCCATGTATGTGTCAAGATTTTCAATGACCACTAAACTTAACACCCTAACACCTACAAAAGAGCCTTATAATTTAAGTAGTCTAGAGGTCAAGGTCAAGTACTACAATAAATCCAAAATGTACGACATTCGACGGAAAATCATTTTGTACAAAAAAAAGCGCGGGATTCTTTTTCAAGCAAAAATTATACAAATTCGAATATACATATCCTTAATTAAATAATCGATTAAATATCCAATCAACTTACCTCAGAAGTAAAAACAAATCCACAACACAACGAGCTATATAAACTGCTAAAAATCAATAATATTTATGAACACAACCAATACATTGATCTCTATTAGTCAAATGATTTTATGGCCATTCCGTTAGCGAAATCCAATGTCATTGGCGAAATCTCACTTATTTGAAATTATGTCAAATGTATACCATAGAGAAAATAAACATAGAGAGACAGATAATAGAGGGAATGGGAAGTGCATTGGGAGTGTATTGGGAGTGTATTGGGAGTGCATTGTGAGTGCATTGTGAGTGCATTGTGAGTGCATTGTGAGTGCATTGGGAGTGTATTGGGAGTGTATTGGGAGTGTATTGGGAGTGCATTGTGAGTGTATTGGGAGTGTTTTAAAAATGGGAGTGTGTTGTACAAAAATTTCGCTTGAGATTAACCCCTCGGATTCACCAATAACCAATAAATATATTTTCTTCTATTTCTTCTCTTCCAAAACACAATTCTTAAATACTAACTTGGACATTATTAGACAGCAATTTTAAAATGTGTTTGGCAACGTTGTAAACTCAAGGACCGTATATGTCAACAATTGACAATGTCATGAATTAATTTGTTTTATGTTTTGTGGATTGACATTGTGAAATAATTCTAAATGTTAGGTTAAAACAGACAAAACATCCTATTTTATTGTAATATAAATGAAAATAACACGTGAAAAATAATTTTACAAAAAATGTAATTTCAGTTAAAACATTATAAAAAGTAAGTTACTTCAATATACTAGTGCTAAAACTTCGAAATTACCACCTCAGGATAGTAGGATAAAACCTTTAAATAAAAATAATAGAATTTTGTGATAAAATACCAGAATCTGTATCAAACTCGGTATCAAACATCGCTCCCCGACCCCTAACACAGATCAAAGAATAATATTTGTTCATATCAGCTCAGACAATTGTTTATAAAATTAATAACAGCAATCGTTTGTAAATTTTTATAACTTACTGACATTTCTCATGACATTTTTGAGTATTTTCTAAAAATACAATGTTACAAAATCATTTTA